GTGTTTGAGTGCTTTCAAGAGAAGTTGTTCAACTTAAGAGGAAGAATGACTAAAGAAAACTTAAAAGGAGTGTAGTGTTATAAACTTTAGTGACTTACGAGAATACAAGAAGTCGACAACTTTTATATGGCATATTCCCAACCCATCACATCTAAACACATATATGTACCTTCATCTTAGTGTCACCCATTTGTTGAAAAGATTGTTGAAACGTCCTTGCAACTAGGTTGGAAGATGCTCATGTTGGACCAATAGAGCATATATGTAATGCATGTTAGCTTATACACATTTGAGAGTGTCAGGTCCCTTCTCCGATAACCTATGGAAGAAATTGATGGTCAACTTAGAGCAAATGAGATAAAGAGAAAAAAAATTCATGCAAATGGAAGAACTTAAAACCTATTGCAACCAAGGGTGAGCTAAAAACGCATTCAAAAGAAGCACAAAAAGAAGTCCTAAACTAGGAAGGACCATTCCAAGTTTGACATAGCTTCGACAAAGAAGCATATTAAATTAAAAATCTGAACAACATTGACATACCAAAGACCTAGAAAGCAAGCCAATTAAAGTTAATTTTGTTTGGTGATATGTTTCAACCAAATGTACTCCTCACCATTATTGAATTTTATTTTTCTACACAGAGTTGTAACAAGGAGGCTGTTAAGACAAAATCGTCGATGTGCCTAAACGCTCTCATGTTTTGAAGTTTAATCAAATAAGATTAAACGAAATAATAATATGAAAACAACATAGCATAGGACTTAAATTCAAAATCTCCAACATAGAAAAACCTTAAGAAAACACTTAGGATTTTAGGAAACATAATAAAAACTAAGTCAAGACACCTAGACGCATTGCTAGACGACTAACAAGTAAAAAACGTCTAAGAGAGTTGAAGCTAAATATGTAAAGCTTATCATACCTAAAAGGTGTTCAGTTTAGCTCTCGAGAAAACAAAACAATATCAAGACGATGTCATTAACAAAACACACTAAAAGACTAAAACTTAAAACACCAAAGATAACACAAATAATGCTAAACTTTGTTTATCTAAACAAACAAAATCATAAGATGTGTTTACATTGTCTAAACGATATCATGAGCTAAAACATTACTTCGTCCAACGATGAAGTTTTTACTCAACGCTTGGTATCGTTAGAAGAAAAACTTAATTGTTAAATGCTACCCCAACAGTAGGAAATCAAAAACTACTTTGTTGTTCTAAACAAACATTAAATGTCATTAAATGTTCAAACGTTCAAAAACAACAAAAGTGATAAGAAAAGACATATATGTTACATTCACAATCTACTCTATTTTTTGTAGATGAACTATTCTACACGCATCCACAAGCTTTAAATCAAAATATCAGAAGTGGGACATTAGAGACAAAAGAGATATTCGCAGAATGTTCTTCACTTGAAGCGGTGTCCTAAGGAAAGTATAACCTACTTCAAGCAAAGTACTGGAAAATCATATTCGCTGTGACAAGTTGACTTTATCCAACGGTGTTGTACACGAAGAAAGAAAAAACACAAAAATCAAGGCCAAGAGCTTAGTCTAACAAAAATTTATACAAAAGCCTTTAAATAGAAGAGCCTTTAAAAGAAAAAATCAAGAGGATAGTAAGAAGATAGCATACAACAAAATATTCATCCTAAGAAGTGCTAAAAAAAAAGAAGTAAAACAAAGGGCTCAAGAAAAAGAAAATATCTAAGCAGAAAAGGAGAAGAAGAGAAAAGAAGAAAAAAAATACTCTTAAGCTTCATTGTTATATTGCTTAGTGATTGTAAGAAAGAGAGAAAGAGAAAAAAGAGAAACACCTACGAGTGTTTAGCTTGCATTGTATTATAATCACATCCTTTCTGCGAGAGTAATAGTTTGAACAACTAGTAAGCAATCTTTAATTACAATTCTGAAGAGAATTAAAACACTTATTGAACTCAATTGAGTTAAGAAAATCTAGGCAAGGTTGCCTAGTACCAGGAGTGGTGCGAATTATACTCATCTAATCTAGGGTAACAGGTGGTTATTCGCTGACTGTAAACCAAGAATTGTGAGAATACTCATATAATCTGGGATAACAAGTGGTTATTCACTGACTGAGAAGACTAAAAATGGTATGAATATTCAGTTGTAATCTTGTTGAAGATTATAGTGAAACCCTTTGTGGAAGAAACTAGATGTAGTTCAATTAAAGTAAACTAATATAAAATATCTATGCATTTATCTCTTCTTTTGCCTAAACACTTATCTTACAAAACTTGCAATTGTGTTTTTATTTCTAAATACAAAAACCTTCCAAGCTAAATTATCACTCTTCAACAAATAAAGTTCTTATAAAATCTGCAAATAAAGTTCTTTAAATATTTGATTTAAAAAATTAAAGGAATGAAAATATTTTCAATATCCGTGGATGTTGTATAAAAAGTACATCTATTCTTTTCACAGATAACCAAATTCTTTTAAACAAGTACCGAATATCTGCTATCCCTACCCGGCCCCTACCATCCCTAGCCAGAATGATAGAAGAATTCTTTTTTCAACAATATAATCATTTGTCATCCCTAACAATAAAGTTATGGAATCTTCTATACTTTTGCGTACATAATTGAACCGCACGAGGATTTTTAGCTTTCAATTTAACCATCATTAATTTTCAAAAGAAAAATTCATGTTTATATTTAATACTAAAACAAATCTTTTCGACGGTTAGAGCTTTGAATGCACAACTGCAGAACATCTCAATCCTAAAGATCATTTTGAAAAAAGGTTTGTATGATGAGGAAAAATTTACAATAAAATTGGTTTTTTTCTTTTTCATTTAAAAAAATGAATGGTTTTCAGCTTAGCTTAGCTTTGTGTTAATATTCAAGATTTCCTAGTCAAGTTTTGAAAATACCCTCTCCTCCAAAAATAAATTGTCAATATTCCATACACATCAAAATTATTAATAAACTTCCAGTTATTTTTAAAGAATATATACTTTACATATTTGCCAGCTCTGATTTGACATATAATGAAACATGAAAGACTCCCAACAACCAAATGAATAGATTTCGTGTCCTCCGAAAAAACAAGCATTTCCATATTTCAGACACATTAAAACTATAAATATACTTCCCTTTATTTTTTTTAAATATATTAGTAAATTACACTTTAGAAATATTTAACAAAATCAAAATTATAATATACAACTCACTAAAATCGACCTAGTTGTAGAGAATTTAAATAATTTACATCATATCCTAAGTTCAAACTTCATTTCAACAAAATAAACCAAATAAATGAATTTTGTATCTAAAGTTGAGGTTTTCTTGTTCTCTAGACCTTGCAACATCGTCATAGAAGTATTTTTCAAAGAGAAGGAAAAAATGAAAGAAAGAAAACAATGGTCTGTGAAGAGCAAGTGAAACCTCAGAAGCCATCATATAGTTGCAGGAGATCTATATTCTTATCTCTGTCATCACTTCTTGGTCTGCATGGAAAAACTACCAACCTTCACACATCTTTGTTGGAAGAAAAACAATAAAATGATTTAAATAACATTATGGGCCATAAGAGCTGATTTTTCTAAACAAAGACAAAGAATGGAACTTGCCTTGCTCAGGTATTTTTTCTGAATTTTCAGTGCTTCAGTGCATGCCTTTTTAGCATCAAGATTTGAGGTGATGTCACCCAAGATCTGAAGAGATAGTTTCATGTGAGATAGATGCAGAAACATATGCAACAACATTATGTATGAATCCATAAAGGGAGATGGAATCAGAGAGAAGAACCTTGACAACGTCATCAACACCCTTGGCTTCATTCAAAATCCGCCGATTCTTGATCTCAAGAACACTTGCAACAAGAAAAACAGCCAGTGCACTATGTTCCTCTGTATAGCCAGTCTTCACATTTTTTCTCTCAAATTTTCCATATTGCTTCAAAACTTTGTCATTTGCTGGTGAGGGACCTCTTGTTTTAGAATCTGGATCCTCATAATTTATGAAGATATTTGGGTTGTATTCCATGCCCCACATCAACTGGAAACAATCTATATTATGTCTCAACAATGAGCTATGAATGTGAAGTACTCTATCTCATCAAGAAATGCTGAGGAACCAGAAAAATGGTAGCTCTCAACTTTTAAAAGTGCATTTCTTGAGAAAAGTTATATTGTTGTTGAAACCATCCTTACCTCCCAAAGGTATAAAGTATCTGCAAAAGAAAATTCTCTTCGGAAAAGAACCATAAGCATCCGAAATGCAAAGAGATACTCTCCTCCATCTAAATCCTCTGAAAAATAAAAGATGAAGTTGAAATGAAAAAACAAAATTCTTGGTTCTTTCACATCGATATATAGAAGAATGCTTCATCATGCAATGTCTCCCTTCATTAGTCGTCCCCTTAACTCCATTGACAATGAATTTTAATAAAAATCAGACAGGTAACTCTACAGTTTTCTGTTCTTATGCAATCTCGGAATCATTGTCAAAGAAAAAAATATTTCAACAAACGTATACCATCTTGGATGCATTTGACGCTGAATCTGGTTCAAATATGAAGATAAAAGAATCTGAGATATGAAACTATAACTCAGCACGTTAGAAGCTTCCTAGAGAAGTTTTACGTACCAAGGTGATGATGAAGCTTAGGGTCAACTGTTTTTATTATCTGTGAGAGTGTAGCTAACTGAGATTGGACCCCCATTGAACTTGCACTGCACCTGAAGTTCTCTCTCTAATATGAAAACAATAGCAAGAATGTAATTGCAAGTGAAAAATACAAATTGAAAGCACACGAAAACAAAATTGACAGCAAGAGATAGACTATACTAAATATTATCCAAGTGAATCAGAAACACTTCTTTATTTGAACTAGCTACAGTAATATGTTCAACTGCAGTATAGTCAATTGATTTTCCACATTTGAGAAAGGACTGGGTACAAACACTAATAAAATAATGAATAAGCCACTACTTTTTCTTAAGGAATCAGTTCCCATCCCAACAGTAGTGAGTCTGTGTTCCAGGACTTAACATACACCTCTTTGTGCAACAAAAAATTCAGGAAATATCGAAATCATGTATGTGAACTGAATAGAACAGGAACGAAGTTAGAGAAATTACATCCTTTTCTAGTCTCAACTCACCAACTTTAACAAAAAGTACCAAATAAGTTGTGAGAATAGCATCCCTGAGTACATGCACAAAAATGTACAAAAAATCAAAGCATGAAAAGAATCAGTCCGATGGACAATTAGGCATGTATTCACTAGATTGTGGTTGCCCATTATCGATTATCCAACCAAGAAATACATATAATTAGCACTTTTAGGCAATTTGTTTGAAGTATTATGTCTGTCTTACCATCCTTCGCATTGCACGGTCAAAGCACCAGTAGCAATCTGCTTCATTCTCAATAAGAATAATTATAGGTGAGCAAATATCATTCATTCCTGCAAAGAAAATAACCCTTTGAGAACGTCTGAGACTTCTCAAAGCCATTTCAGTTCAATATCTACAAATTGAGAACTATAACAATTCACCTTGTACATAACCAATATCATTGTCCAACCAAGCATAAACTGATAGCACATCCCAAAGTTTTGCTTGATTAACTTCACTTTCATAAAAGACAAGGGCCCGATCTGTTCGAACAACATCCAGGCCTACATTGCAAAACTAATCAATTGCTACCATGGCTGCTTGTTAGAACAAATTAATTATAAATAAACACAAGCAGACAATTTTTAAGCAAAATTAACAGCATATGACCTTGTTCTGTGAACACCATGGAACAGATGCCATTGACATCACAAGCCCAAGGCACATATTCTGCCTTAAATGGTATCCAAAATTTTCAGGTCGCTTTTCCATTTTAATGACTTCCAATTTTTGTTAATTAGCTGTATTTATGAAAGTATAAACTATATGTTCAGGATATTTGTCTTATTAGCATTGAAAATTTACTTGCTAACAAATTGTGTGAAAAGTACTGATAAAATTGTGGCCTTATTACACCCACAAAAAGAACACAACCCAAGCTTCTTTCATTGATCTATGAGACAACCTGAGTACATAAAGAGTTCCAACTTTTATGAATCCGCAAATTTATGACACTAGCTTTTCAGGTAGATGAAGTCCAAGAAGCAAAACTTTTGAACAAAACTAAAACCGAATAGAATGGAAAAAGTATTTGCAGAAGCAGTTACGTACCGATCTGATGTAATAACTGCAACCACTGCAAAACTTTCTTGTCTGAAGTCTGGACAGTTACCAAAGAAGGATCTATTATCTGACCATCATCATCAATGAGGGGTGTAGTAATAAATTTTCCAGAACCAATGACTGGGACCATCCTTTGACATTCAGCTTTCCACATATCATACTGCCCCCTGAGTAATAAATTTACAAAACATGTCATTCTGTTTATTTTCAATCAATGCAAAGAAGTCACCCAGTCTCGAGTCTAGATTATTTGGAAGATAAAGCAAACAAAACTAATCTTATTGTTCGTACATTACGAGGCACCAAGGCCAAGGATTAATAGGAAGCATGGCATCCAAGAGATAACAATTTTGGTCTCACAATTTTGATTAGAATAATAAAGTATGAAGATTTGGCTAAGTGCCGCAACTGCAATGGTAACAGTAGCAGTAATAGTGGTTATAAATGAAAACAAATGATAGGAAGCAGGTAGTCTATATAGCACAGCTTCGGACATGTCACAAACATGTGAAAATGGAGAAAAAAACAAGACACGGAGACACAGCACACACACAGAGACATCGCTGCAAGGAATAGTATGTTGCTAGTGGTGCTGTTATTGGGTCGGGTCACAACTGAGAGTAACTGATAAGGTTTTCTAAAGAACAAAACATTAAATGAAGACTCAAATGGAATATGGATGATTTTTATTTTCTGCAGAACAAGAAAATCAGTAAGATATGAATATCTCACTGCCCAGAGCCAAGCTCCTTAGAGAAACCAAGAATGGTTCCCTTTCCACTAAACCAAATAACCGTCCTCTCCCAAAACTTCACTGCCTGATTCTTTTTAAAACAATCACACCCCTTTCTCTCTCTTCTAACCAACCTATTCCTCCCTAGTGTGCCACGTCACCCTTCCTAGTCTTTTTTCTCTCATATACTCTACCCCATCTATTCTTGATCTTTTCTTCTTGGATCAAGGGCTCATTCAGCCCAATAAAGTTTGGGTCTGTATCAATACCCCTTTCTTGAAATAGAGCCTTGTCCTCAAGGCTAAATTCTGGAAATTGGCTTCGAATTATCACTTCATCTTCCCAAGTAGTTTCATCAACATTTTGTCCCTTCCAATGCACCAACAACTTGCTTCTTATTTTCACCCCTCTGTGTGATGTTCCGAGTCGCCAAGATCCCCTCGGGAACTAATAATTCCGCTCTGTCATCCTCCAACCCAGTAGGAATATGCTCCTCAACCTTATACTTACCCACAGCTCTTTTTAATAATGATACATGAAAAATAGGATGAATCTTTGAATTTGGTGGCAATTTCAGTCGATATGCCACTTCCCCAATTTTCTCCACAATCTCAAAAGGGCCATAATATCTAGCACTTAATTTTGGGTTGACTCTGTTCATGACAGACTGCTGCCTATTCAGTTTCAATTTTAAAAACACAAGATCACCCACAACAAAGTGTCTTTCCTTTCGATGCTTATTGGCTTGAGTTCTCATCCTGTCCTGGGCACGGAGCAAATGGGATTTTAGTTGCCTTAACACCTCATCCCTCTCTAAAAGATCTTTCTGGACAGCTTCAACTCTCTACTTCTCCTTGCACCACTTGCACAATCTTGGGGGGTGGTCTCCCATAGACAGCTTCAAAAGAAGTCATTCCTGTAGATCCATGATAAGTGGTGTTGAACCAAAACTCTGCCCAAGGCATCCAAAGCACCCACGTTTTGGGTTGGTCAGTGATAAAACACCTTAGATAAGTCTCCAAACACCTGTTTGTTACCTCAGTTTGTCCATCCGATTGCGGATGATAAGCTGTGCTCATTTGTAATTTGGTGCCTTGCATCTTAAAGAACTCTTTCCAAAACAAACTCTTGAATACTGGATCCCTATCACTCACCACAGAATTGGGAATCCCATGAAGCCTCACTACCTCCTTAACAAATATTTCAGCCAGAACCTTTGCAGTATAAGGATGTTTAAGGGCCACAAAATGACAGTATTTTGTTAAACGATCAACAACCACCAATATGGCTTCGAACCCTCTAGATCTTGGCAGTCCCGTAATGAAGTCAATACTTAGATCCTCCCAAATCCTTTTCAGAATTGGTAGTGGTTGTAGTAAACCACCAGGAGCTGTTGTGATGTATTTTTGCCTCTGACATGTGTCACAAGCTTGGACAAACTGTTGGACATCCTTTTTCATGCCTTTCCAATACAAGTTGGCTGCTAATCTCCTATATGTATGATAGAAACCTGAATGACCACCTTAGGGAGTAGCATGAAATTCTTCCAAGAACTTAGGAATCCAATCTGATTTTTCCGGAACAAGAAGGCGATTTTTATAGTATAATACTCCCTGCTTGTATTCGTAACCCGCATGAGCGTGCCCACCCTGTCCTGCCTTCACCTCTTCAATTATCTTCTTTAATTTATCATTAGCATGCACTTCGGCATTGAGTTCTTGCCAATCTAACCAGATTGGAAAATACACCATACTATTTATTTCCATTTCTTCTCTGCTACGAGACAAAGCATCGGCCCCCTGATTCTCTTTACCAGGCTTGTAAACAATCTCAAAATTATAGCCTAACAACTTTGCCAACCAGTTTTGCTGTGCCCCAGTAGTTATACGTTGCTGCATTAATTGTTTCAAACTCTTTTGATTTGAGAAAACAGTAAATTTTTTACCCAAAATATAAGGTCTCCAATGCTGTATTGCCAATGCTACCGCCATCAGTTCTCTCTCGTAGGCCGATTTTGTCAAATTACAAGGACTCAAAGCCTTGCTATAATACCGGTGCGGTGGTAATCCTTCGTTTAAGTTCTTCAAAGGCTTCTTGAGCCTTCTCATTCCAACCAAAACCATCTTTTTTAGTTAACTCTGTTAGGGCTTTGGCTACCTTACCATAATCCTTAATGAATTTACGGTAATAGCCTATAAGACCCAGAAAATCACGAACTCCCTTCACATTCTTAGGGACAGGCCACTCCATGACGCTGTTAATCTTGGCCGGGTCAACCGCAACTCCTTGTATTGAGATAATGTGCCCCAGATATTCAACACTTTCCTGCCCAAACATGCATTTTTCCTTGTTTGCAAATAACTGGTTAGTTCTCAACACTTCCAACACCCTTTCCAGTAATTGCAAATGTTCTTCCCAGCTACTACTGTATACGAGAATGTCATCAAAAAACACCAGTACTCCTTGCCGTAACAACGTACGAAAGACTTCATTCATGAGTGCTTGAAAGGTTGAAGGTGCATTCATTAATCCCAAGGGCATCACCAGGTATTCGTAATGACCCTCATGTGTTCTGAATGCAGTTTTTGGTATATCTTCCTCCTTCTTCCTAACTTGATGATAACCCGAACGAAGATCGAGTTTAGAGAAAAACCTGGCACCATGGAACTCATCCAACAATTCCTCGATAACCGGTATGGGAAATTTATCAGGGATAATGGCTTTATTCAATGCTCTATAATCAACACACATACGTCACTTGTTGTTTTTCTTTTTCACCAAAATTACGGGACTGGAATAAGCACTCTGGTTGTGCCGCACATAGCCCACCTCTATCAATTCTCACACTTGTTTCCCAATTTCATTCTACTGATGGTAAGCATAACGATAGGGTCTCACATTAATAGGTTCTTGTCCTGGTTTAATATTGATCCTGTGCTCCTTCATGCGTACAGGTGGCAGCCCTTTTGGTTCCTCAAACACCTCACTAAATTGCTGCAACATATTGTCCAGGACGCTCCTCTGCTCCGAGCTCATCCCATCATTCTCCGTTTTTCCTTGATCTTCCAATAAACCACAAACTGACATTACCAAGGAATTCCCATGAGGAACCCCTCTAAGCAACCTTTCACCTTGATTAGTTTGTACTTTCATAATCTGTTTTTTCCAATCCACTGTGGTTTCTCCCAACGTCGTTAACCACGACATTCCTAATATTATATCCATATCCTCCAAGTCAAAGAGAAATGCATCGATTTCAAATTCTCCCTCATCAAACCTTACCTTTATACCTCTACAAACACCTTGAGTTTTTAATTTGTGTCCATCTCCCATTAAAATCTTCATTTGTTTTGTCCTTTCCCACTTCCAACCCAACGCTTCAACAAGTCTCCTAGAAATAAAATTGTGGGTAGCACCACTATCTATCAAAAACAACATAGGAATCTCTCCAATCATTCCACGCAACTTCATTGTTTTCGGTTGATCATCATTGTCGCTCTCAATAGTACAGATATTTAATGTCGTGCACAAAGCTACAACCTCGTATTCCTCTTCATTGTTGTCGCTTTCCTCTTCTCTCTTGTCGCATTCGACTTGGATTTCCTCGTCAATCATGATGACCCGAAGCTGTTTCCCCGGGCATCGATGGAGGGGTCCAAATAACCCACGACATTTATAACACAAACCTTTTTGTTTTCTGTCCAAGAGATCCTGATAGGTGAGATGATTGGCTCCTCTATCTTTAGGTCTAGTTCTACTTTGCCCACCCCAATCTTTTTTTTCACTTGGGCCTGGTCCAATTCCTCCCCAATTGCCCCCATTCTGTTTTGGGCCAGTNTATATGTATGATAGAAACCTGAATGACCACCTTAGGGAGTAGCATGAAATTCTTCCAAGAACTTAGGAATCCAATCTGATTTTTCCGGAACAAGAAGGCGATTTTTATAGTATAATACTCCCTGCTTGTATTCGTAACCCGCATGAGCGTGCCCACCCTGTCCTGCCTTCACCTCTTCAATTATCTTCTTTAATTTATCATTAGCATGCACTTCGGCATTGAGTTCTTGCCAATCTAACCAGATTGGAAAATACACCATACTATTTATTTCCATTTCTTCTCTGCTACGAGACAAAGCATCGGCCCCCTGATTCTCTTTACCAGGCTTGTAAACAATCTCAAAATTATAGCCTAACAACTTTGCCAACCAGTTTTGCTGTGCCCCAGTAGTTATACGTTGCTGCATTAATTGTTTCAAACTCTTTTGATTTGAGAAAACAGTAAATTTTATACCCAAAATATAAGGTCTCCAATGCTGTATTGCCAATGCTACCGCCATCAATTCTCTCTCGTAGGCCGATTTTGTCAAATTACAAGGACTCAAAGCCTTGCTATAATACCGGTGCGGTGGTAATCCTTCGTTTAAGTTCTTCAAAGGCTTCTTGAGCCTTCTCATTCCAACCAAAACCATCTTTTTTAGTTAACTCTGTTAGGGCTTTGGCTACCTTACCATAATCCTTAATGAATTTACGGTAATAGCCTATAAGACCCAGAAAATCACGAACTCCCTTCACATTCTTAGGGACAGGCCACTCCATGACGCTGTTAATCTTGGCCGGGTCAACCGCAACTCCTTGTATTGAGATAATGTGCCCCAGATATTCAACACTTTCCTGCCCAAACATGCATTTTTCCTTGTTTGCAAATAACTGGTTAGTTCTCAACACTTCCAACACCCTTTCCAGTAATTGCAAATGTTCTTCCCAGCTACTACTGTATACGAGAATGTCATCAAAAAACACCAGTACTCCTTGCCGTAACAACGTACGAAAGACTTCATTCATGAGTGCTTGAAAGGTTGAAGGTGCATTCATTAATCCCAAGGGCATCACCAGGTATTCGTAATGACCCTCATGTGTTCTGAATGCAGTTTTTGGTATATCTTCCTCCTTCTTCCTAACTTGATGATAACCCGAACGAAGATCGAGTTTAGAGAAAAACCTGGCACCATGGAACTCATCCAACAATTCCTAGATAACCGGTATGGGAAATTTATCAGGGATAATGGCTTTATTCAATGCTCTATAATCAACACACATACGTCACTTGTTGTTTTTCTTTTTCACCAAAATTACGGGACTGGAATAAGCACTCTGGTTGTGCCGCACATAGCCCACCTCTATCAATTCTCACACTTGTTTCCCAATTTCATTCTACTGATGGTAAGCATAACGATAGGGTCTCACATTAATAGGTTCTTGTCCTGGTTTAATATTGATCCTGTGCTCCTTCATGCGTACAGGTGGCAGCCCTTTTGGTTCCTCAAACACCTCACTAAATTGCTGCAACATATTGTCCAGGACGCTCCTCTGCTCCGAGCTCATCCCATCATTCTCCGTTTTTCCTTGATCTTCCAATAAACCACAAACTGACATTACCAAGGAATTCCCATGAGGAACCCCTCTAAGCAACCTTTCACCTTGATTAGTTTGTACTTTCATAATCTGTTTTTTCCAATCCACTGTGGTTTCTCCCAACGTCGTTAACCACGACATTCCTAATATTATATCCATATCCTCCAAGTCAAAGAGAAATGCATCGATTTCAAATTCTCCCTCATCAAACCTTACCTTTATACCTCTACAAACACCTTGAGTTTTTAATTTGTGTCCATCTCCCATTAAAATCTTCATTTGTTTTGTCCTTTCCCACTTCCAACCCAACGCTTCAACAAGTCTCCTAGAAATAAAATTGTGGGTAGCACCACTATCTATCAAAAACAACATAGGAATCTCTCCAATCATTCCACGCAACTTCATTGTTTTCGGTTGATCATCATTGTCGCTCTCAATAGTACAGATATTTAATGTCGTGCACAAAGCTACAACCTCGTATTCCTCTTCATTGTTGTCGCTTTCCTCTTCTCTCTTGTCGCATTCGACTTGGATTTCCTCGTCAATCATGATGACCCGAAGCTGTTTCCCCGGGCATCGATGGAGGGGTCCAAATAACCCACGACATTTATAACACAAACCTTTTTGTTTTCTGTCCAAGAGATCCTGATAGGTGAGATGATTGGCTCCTCTATCTTTAGGTCTAGTTCTACTTTGCCCACCCCAATCTTTTTTTTCACTTGGGCCTGGTCCAATTCCTCCCCAATTGCCCCCATTCTGTTTTGGGCCAGTTTTACCCAACACACTAAAGACAAGTCGGTTTCTCAATTGGGTTTTACCATCACTACGTGGCTCACCTCTTCCCTGCCACATTTTGTTTCTCCCTGACATCTCCACATTAGTTGCACGAGCCACATTCATCATGCACCCCCTAGAGAGAGGGTTTGCAACGTGTAAACTTCGGCGGTACTTGTGTAATCAAATATTCAAAACTTCTAATATAATCCTCCACACTTCCTGTTTGTTTCAGAGAAACCAATTGATCATAAACACTTCCTTCGCCCATTCCTCCATATCTCTCCAGCATCTCTCTTTTCAAATCTTCCCATGTTAACTCCTCATATTCATTCAACAGAGACTGAAAATAATGTATCGTGCTTCCTTCCATTCAGAGATGGGCAAGGTTTACACGAAGGGCTTCTCGTGTCCCTTGGACATTAAAATAAACCTCTGCCCTCGCAATCCACCCTGCGGGATCTTCACCGTGGAATGACGGCAACTCTATTTTCTTCATCGATTGGCGAAATTCCAACAAATCATCTCCGTCAAGTTGTTTCATACTTGGAAACACCTTCGGTATAACCTTTACCGAATTTGTTTTCTTCTGTTCCACCGACCCCTGTCCTTCGTCCTCGTTCTCTCTTCCCTTTGTAAATTCTGACATTAGGTTGAGCAACTTTGATTGATTCTCAGCTGCCTCCTTACGTAATATTGTGATCTGCTCAGCGGCGTCCTTACGAACATTCTCCAAATGGGTTTGGTTCTGCAACAATTGCGCAACTAGCTCCTCAACAATTGCCTTGAGTTTGGTCACTTCTCCCACAACGAACCCTACCTTTGTCTCATCATTCTCCTCAGCTACCGGTTCCCCTTGAGTATTGTTCTTCTTCAGTGGCATTGTGTGCAACTATCCAGCAGGTCGGACCAATGATAAAGTTTTTTAAAGAACAAAAAAAATTAAATGAAGACTCAAATGGAATATGGATGATTTTTATTTTCTGCACAACAAGAAAATTAGTAAGATATGAATGTCACTGCCCAGAGCCAAGCTCCTCAGAGAAACCAAGAATGGTTCCCTTTCCACTAAACAAAATAACCGTCCTCCCCCAAAACTTCACTGCCTGATTCTTTTTAAAACAACCAAACCCCTTTCTCTCTCTTCTAACCAACCTATTCCTCACTAGTGTGCCACGTCACCCTTCCAAGTCTTTTTTCTCACATATACTCTACCCCATCTATTCTTGATCTTTTCTTCTTGGATCAAGGGCTCATTCAGCCCAATAAAGTTTGGGTCTGTATCAGTAACAGTCATAGCCTTGGCTGCTCCTAAGCCTTTCTTCTCTTTTGTGCCAAACTGATCAACAATACTTGAAAGCTGGAGTCAGCAAGAAAGCACTGCAGGCAGTGGCAATTGAAGTGTGGAGGAATTCATGGATGACAGCTAAGTATAGTCAGCTTATTTGATTTGTTTTAATTTCCAAATATGTTAGTCACAACAAAAGTGATAACATGATCCCTTTTCACAGGAAAAACAAGACAAAGTGAAAAGTGCACCAATAACATCAATTGTCTTAGAAGCAACACCAATTGCATTCCTAATGAACATAAGCCTGAATCCAGAAGAAGATGACAGGTTTTATAGAGAAACATTTAAAGGAAAATATACCTCCTGCGTTGCTTGAGCTCATTCCGTTCTTCAAGTGTACTGTTAGGATCATAGCAACCTAGCAAGAACTCCCACACTTCCCCTTTGATTGAAGGATGGACACCCTAAATAATTTATAGAAATAAGTGCAGGCACAAATCAGAAGGAATAAAACTTGATCAATTATATGATACTGAATTTAACTTTGTTGGTGTACATTGTATGAAAAATATCAAGCACTTGAAATGGTCATCACAAATAATCATCTTATGGTGTATCTTTTATGGAGAGTGTCTCAAAGGCATTTGAGAACAGGGAGGGGGGTGTCATCAACCAACTTATGCTCATAGGTACAAAACACATTAACGATTTTATACTTTGGCAACACTTCTAATAATTTTATTCTCAAGCAAGAGCGTCTGGGGCTTGAAGAATACAAATGCCTTGGCCAGATAAATGAATGATGACAACAGGGATAGAACTATAGCAATTAGGCATTTAGGTTCTAAGTGTTTCAAAAGGATAAATGATCCAGTAGTTTGATTTTAGCTGTTTTCAAGCCCTTGCCAATCACCGTGTGTGTCTTTAGCTTTAAAACAAATTAGCAAGTCGCAAATATGAGATCACAAGAAGTTGGCTTTGGGGCAGTGTAAATCTGTCGATTTGCTTCTCTACCCTGTTCCTTTTTCCCATGATAATGATGGACTTTGCAAACCTTTTTCTTTTGTATTAACTAATTTTTAAAAATTAATTTGAAGTTAAAATGAGCCTTTTTTGGTATACTTTATTTGACTATGGAACTTGGTGGCCTAAGGTAGTTTTAAAACTTTAAAAAATCTCATCTAAAACAGTCTAAAATTATAAATTTCACTAATTGATTATCAGAAAAACCCTAATTTTCCAAATACACACACAAACACACACACAAACACACACGTATCTCCCTCTCTCTCTTCCCTTCTTCTGAGTTCCTAGGTCCAAAATAAAAACTCACCCTCTCTCTCTTCCCTTCTTCTGAGTTCCTAGGTCCAAAATAAAAACTCATACTATTTCATTGACTCAACAATAGTTGAGATGAGCATATTAAGTCTTGGGGACTTGTGAATGACACGTATAAAACATTGAAGACTTCACCAAGTCACATGTCTCAAGCTCATTTTGTTTTTGACTAATTGAGTTTGTGCATGCGTGATCAAATGTGCTGAGAATTATATTAGCCTACCTACTACAACAAGACTCATCATGCCATAAACTAACTCTTTGCAATGTTTAAACTATTGAGTTAAGATTTAAGGCATATTAATGGTTTTATGCTTTTTGTAACATTTCTAACCAAAATGTTAGGTTCTTTGAGGGGATACATAGAGGAGATTTGACACCAATAAACTATGAACAAACCCAAATAAGAGAGTAAGATACCAGTTAAAACCCAAAATCTCAAGACAATAAGTTTGTGGGTATTTTCTCTTTATATATTAATCTTCTTGTTCAGTTTTTCCCAGGATGGAACTCAAGCGTACACTTGACATAACAATTAAGTTTTTATATTATTGATACGGTCTCAAACTATAGGGAAAGGATCATGTAATCGAACTAGTGTTTTCAGAGTGATTGCAAATCCAAAAACAAACAGAGGCACAAAAATAGAGGCAGGAAGCTGAAAGAAAGATAGCTATTACTCATTAATCGTTATAGATAGATTCCGCAACAAAATTACAGCACTGTGCAAGTAAACAATAGAAATTACCCCTCGCTGAATTCGTCGTAGCACTTTTGCAATATCCAAGTGACCATCTGCAGAGAATGATGCTAGCCATCTTCTTTGACTTAGAGTTTTGCCAGCCTGTGGAAACAGAAAATGCAGTGTGTAAATCATAAGACTTTATTTTTCCTTTTGCAAAATTCCTAAACACCATCTATGTGGTATGCGTGGAAGAAACAGAAGCACACATTTCAATCTTGCGCTAGTATGAATGTGTGACACATCACATTCAAAGGGGTACCAAGTGCACAATCATTCCAAATGAAATTAATTGAATTGGTGTGCATTAGTGATCAAAATAAAATGACCATGCACTAAGAAGTGTACCAAGAAAGCATTGGTTGAGAAGCAAAAGCTCACCCTTGGTTTAAAACGAGGGGCGGGAACATCAGCTTGGCATTCTGGTCGAATGGGGTAGAAGGCATTCAACTCAGTAGTTCCAGCACTCTTCATAAGAACCCCAAACAGTCCCCCACAACCAATCATCCACCAACGCCAAGCTCTTCAATTCAAACTATTCCCTTACTAGAGACCCATCTCAGCATCAATTTCTGTTCATTGAAGAAACTCAACCCATCAAACAAAATTTAATTTTTTTTTCTTCATCGAAGGAAAATAAAAAGAAAGGGTCAAATCCACTTGGTTCGAAATCTTTCGACAAAAAATACCAAGTCAGGTGCCTTAAACTTGTCAAGTTGTCGGAAAAAACAAAATTTAAAAAAAAAATTACGTATCAAATCGTTTTTATTGGTAATACCGATAACGTATGGCTCGTCAAAGCAGGTCCTGGAAAATCCAGTTGGGGAAACGTTTGTGACGCAAATACAAAATCTTGAGCGAGGAAAAGGAAGTACCTTGGCATGATTGAAAGTGATCTATCAACGCGATGAGGTGAAGGTTGTGGAAGGAAGGTGCGAGAGATGGAATTGAAAGAAAGAGAGAAAAAGTGGAGAACGGAATGTGTCGCAGGAAACGAAGGAGAGAGAAAGATGGAAAGCAATGAGTGTTGAATAGGATAATTCGCCCAATGACCAATGATTGTTGACGAGGAAAGGGAAGAGAAGACTATATATATATATATATATATATATATATATATATAGAAATTTTAGGTGGGTAACTGTTTGTATATTCATTATGTATATTTGTTAGTGATATAATATTTGTCTATATATATCTTATGTGTAAATGTTTCGTTCATATAATAAAATATAATGTTTTTCTTTTTCCTCTTCTCTCTCTTTCCTCTTAGATAGTATCAAGAGCTGATCTAAGTTCTTCCATGGCTTCCGTTCTTTTCTTCTTCAGCCTTCACTCTGAAAATGTTATTTCTTCTTCTTCCTTTCCACCTCATACTCTGAAAATGCACTCTGGTAACAAGTTCTTGCCACCGTGAAAGGTCTAAACCTGACCAAATTCTTGGAAGGTCATGATATTCCCTTCCAATTTCTCACTCCCAAGGATGCGATTTCTAACAGCATCACTCCAAATTTTCTAAACTATGATCAACAAGATCAATTGCTTGTTGCCTAGCTCCTAGCTTCTGTGCCCCTTCTCACAAAAATGGTTTATCTTTCTTGATAACAAAAAGATTGTTGACACCTTCGCTGCTATTGGTTCTCTGATTAATTACCACTAATGATCGTATTAAAGCCATTCTAGATGGTTAATATGACAGTTTTATAACTTCTATTCTATCTCTCATTGATTCACACACGGTTGAAGAGATTGAATCTTTACTATTGTCACGAGAAAAATGTTTTGACAAACAAAAGATCAACAATGATAATATTCCTCTCCAAGCTTATCTCACCTCTGGGCCTTCGTCTTCAAACAACAACTACAACTCAAAGAACAAAGCTTTTCATTGTCTGCACATTAAAAATTGTCTACACAGCTGAGCCTCAATGCAAGGAACTGAGCCATGGAAGAAATCCTCCGGTGAAAGAAACCTAAATTGATTAAATCCGGAGAGCTTAAACATCGTGAGGAAGAGCTAAGCCCAAAGGGGTTTTAGGAAGGAAAACACTAAAGCAAAAAGTTAAGTCACAAGAAAGTCTTGCATAGGAGGAAACTTCCCCTGCTGAGCACTGAAGATTCGAGTTGAGTGTCAATCTATATTTTCTAGAAAAATAGAGTGTTAGGAGTTCTTCTCTTAGACCTTTTTCTTAGGATTTCTCTTTATATTCATTGTAATATTTTAGATAATCATGAGAGAGGGATAACAACTCGTAACAAGAATCATCAATATCACTAACTCTCTTGCATTGAAGTTGAATGCATTAATACGTTAGTTTTCTGTATTATATATATCATTGTTGTTATTCATGTGTTAATGACATGGTTTATGCTTTAATACTTGATGAATTGATCGTTCATTTTATATAATTGATGTGAATTGAGTTGGGAAATTAATCTTATGTCTAAGATCCAACCAAACTATAAAATGTGTTTAAATATTAGGAATAGATTTAAATACTTTGTTGAGTTAAAAGTTCTACATTTAAAGCAATTATTCATTTATTAGTAATTGAGGAATCAACGTTATGATTGAGATCCTGAGGTTCTAAATTCAAGTGATTAATTAGAATTAGCTAAAAACTTTTAGTGACACGGATAATTGCATTGATATATATTGAATAAGTAAAAGTACAGGTGAGGAGATAGGTGAAATCCAATCCTAATATATATTGGTTACTTTCAATCTTGTCTTACTTTATTTAAATGAAATCATTTACAACAATACCATGAAAATTGTTTTAGAACAACTTCATAACAAGTCACAACAGATTAAAGTTACTTGAGATTTTGCATAAGTCCCTTTGAATATAACTCTTGTTTGGTAATACAACTCTCAGTACATTTGATTAAAGGTAAAGAAAGAAGCCAACATATGTCAATACACGCATCAACCTCAATAACATCATTCATTGGAAAGTTGTGAAGCGCATCCTTCATTATTTGGCTGGGACAGTTGATCGTTGTCTTCTTCTCCCAAGCTCTCCTGCTTCGTCCATTGTTTGTTTTAGTGATGCTGATTGGGGTTATGTTGGTCGCAGTCTTGTTTCCTGGGGCTCTCACAAACAAGGAGTTGTGTCTCACAGCAGCATTGAAGTAGAGTACCAAAGTATAGCTTTTGGGCTTGTTGAAATAATTTGGATAGCTTCTCTTCTTCGGGAACTTTATATGGTCTTTTATACTCCTATCCTATCATTTATTCTCACAACCTTGGTGCAATTCTCCTTGCTGTCAATCCTGTTATGCACTATCGCTCCAAACATTTTTTATCTAAACATTCATTTTGTTCGTGATCGTGTGCAACAACCTCAAGTTCAACTTGTCTACCTTCTTGACCATTTTCAAGTTGTTGACATTTTGACAAAACATGTTTCAGGAATTGTGTCATATTGGTGATTAATAAACCCACCATCATATCATTAAAGGATGTTAAATAAGTGTTTGTGTTAGTTAAATCTGTTCATTTTGTTTATTTGTTAGTGATGTAAGGGCTGCCTATACATCTCTTATGTGTATATGTTTTGTCACATAATCTTTACAATCTTTACCTTTTTCCTCTTCTGTTTGTTTTTTCTTACAATTTCAAATTTCAAACTCAGATTTTGACATTTTCTCTTTATTTTAGTCACCATTAAAACTTTAGAAATGTATTTTGGGTTTAACATATATCTAACTTCTTCATGTTTAGATTATGTTCAATATCTAAAATGAAAATGAGTTTAATTGGTTTAAACATTCAATATCGGTAGTTCAGACCTTCTAAAAATATCTCACAAGAACAGAAGTAAAGTCTAACTAGTACATTTTTCAAAGAAACTTGGGTTTATTTATCATAGTTTATACATAAATTTTATTTATGACCATGTTAATCGTAGATCATTGTATAATTTAACTTAGAATAACCGGATTGATCAAACAATAGCCTTTACTCAACATCCAACTTGGAGGACATTGCAATTTCAAGATTTAAGTTCGAAAGTGATCGACACCACTTGCATTGATGAGTTCCGGTTCTAAAGTAAGAACAAAAAGTCATTCATGCTAAAAATAGAAATTCAGGTATTTCTTGAATTAGCTAGTTTGAAACCAAATACTAGCTCGTGAATAAATTTCATTCTTAAGGGCAGTGTTAATATGTAACATACAGGCAGCGTTGGAGCTCATTGTTAACAAGCAATAACATGGTGTATCGTAGAGAACTTGCTACAACTCAGGTGTCGTCTAGTACAGTAATTAAATATAAGAAAGAATCTTAGTTGAATTCTCTTCTGGACTTTTTAAGAACACGTTACAGTGGCCGAGAAACCTTCTGAAGCAATTCTAGGGGTAGAAAAAAGTCCACCTTGGTCCAAAACTGGTATAAGGAGATCAAGCCATTATGACCTCCATTCTTTGGTTTCTTTCCATAGTGTTTGGGACTATTCTTGCATCACAGGTGTGTCAGATACAGAACTGGAAACAAAAGGACACACCCTTCACTTAATTACTTCCTGATGTTGAGGAGCTCAAAGCTTCTCAGAGGATCATCGCGGTGGCCTCTGCCACGGACACCAGCACCGCGTGCATAATTTGCTTGTTTGGTGTCATATGCCGGTTGAACTCTATTAGAACCAGATGGACGGCTCCCAGTCATGGTTGGCCTGCCAGTATGGTCACCTGAGGAAACTGGCTTGTTTGATGTGATCATGGCTTTTCTAGAAGTGCTGCCATATCGACCAGTATTGTGCTGGCCATAGTGCTATCAACAAAACATAAAGAGTCAAATACATACAAATAAGATAGTTAAACACAGGACTCAGTCTTTCACATGCAAATGTGGTTGGACTAAGAATTAACAGTAGAGAAAATAGAGCCGGGGAAAACTATATCCTTGTATAACAATAGAGATTATCTATTCAATCAATAGATTTTCGTTGTGTCACTCATCAAATCAATGCTTCTTTTAAATTATCTATTCAATCAATAGATTTTCTTTTTACCGATAATACAACCTGCAACATATTATATTAATTTTGGGGAGTGATCAAAACTGAATGTTTCAGCCGCCTCTGTAATGTTTAGATTTAGTTTAATTAACAAGAAAGAAATCCTTTATCAATTTAATCGGTCTTATCTGACTTTTTTTATAATTCATATTTTACACGTATTTACTAGCACATGTATACTGGATACTTGCTAGTTTCAAATAAATCTTCAGTTAAGAGCAAGGATATTGAAGCCATGTACAAAATTGAAACATAAAGTTAACACTTAAATTCACCCCATCGATTATGAGAAAGAGTAATAAGCTTATTCACTTTATTAATTGGTTTCTCCCCCAACTCTTTCATGACATAAGTACTTCAAAGCCCAAACTACAAACCCTCCATAGAAATGACCATAACATGCAACATCTCTACAAACCAGCTATATACAAAATAAGAGTATCTCTTTGGTTTGAGAAAACTTCATCATCTTCATTTCTTGTTTTGTTTTAAATGATAATTCTAGAAGTGAATCACAATTTTCGCTTAGTGAAAAATAATATTTTAGTGTTCTCATCATATTCTTCTGCCAAATCTCAGGAAGAAAATTGAAAATGACATCATTTTATAGTTATAATAATTTAAAATGGAAATAGGAAGTGAAAAAAGTTGTCAAATCATGCCCTAATACTCTCATAAGAAAAGAGCACCAAATGGTGGTCAATATATTATTGGTGTTGGATAAACAATATTTACCATATCCTTTTGCACCGGTACATCCTCAAAACTCCTCTGTTTGACGTGATCAACGTGAGGACTCGAACCTGCAGGATTCCTCCTGGAGAATGCTTCAACTGCACCAGAGAATTTCTCTCGAATGTCTTTCCCAACTGAAAGAAATTGAATGACCAAAATATACAAAATGGAATGAGAACATTGCACCAGTTTAAGTATTGATGTGAGCCACCAAAAAGATAACTATATCTGACTGCTTTCGTATAAATTTTCAGCCACAGCATATACTAAATTTCAAATTTTGACTGCCCAAGTTCAGGCTCATT